AGGAAAGTGCTTCCATTAAACGGGTGCGCGCTGATTGAAAGACGCACCCCAGGCTGTGCGTGTCAGGCTGCTCTCCCCCACAAAAAGGAAGGTCTTGAGTGTGTTCCTAAGTTTCAGGTTTCTTGCTAGATTACCCCTGAATTTTCATGATCCGTCATAGATGCCATGCATTTGTTCTCAGAACCGCTGGACTGGACGTGCTGGCATCTAGGAATCAAAAGTTCTAAGTTTAAGGTCTGCCTTTGCTGTTGAGATACCAGTTTAACGTGGGTGTTTTACTCTTTTATGATAATAACAGAGTAGCTAATACATACTGAGCTTGTATTATGTGCCAGGTCCTATACCCAGACACTCGACGTGTATCAACCCATTTTAACGTGTATCAGTCCCCATGAGGGAGAAACTGTTGTCGTTTCCATTTTACAGATGGGGAAACAAAGGTGTGCAGAAGAAAGACTCTTACCACATAGTCACTGTGGGGTAAAGTGGTCGGGATTAGAGCCTACGAATCCATGTTGTTTTTTTAACCTGGGTTTTTTGAGGTATAATTTACATACAGTAAATATCACCCTTTTAGTTAGTGATATTTAGTAAATATACACAACCAAGATATAGAACATTTTCGTCAGTTTAAAAATTTCCTCGTGCCCTGAATGGTGTGGCTCGGTTGGTTGGGCGTCCTCTGCAAAATGAAAGGTCACCAGTTTGATTCCTGGTCAGGGCACATGCCTAGGAACCTGCCTGGGTTGCAGGTTTGGCCCCCAGTTGGGGTGCGTACCAGAGGCAACCAGTTAATGTTTCTCTCCCACATCGATGTTTCTCTCCCCTCTCCTCTCTCTAAAAAGAAAGGGAGAGGGGGAGGGAGGGAAGGTGGGAGGAAGGGCGATCTCTCGTGACCCTGTGTGGTCAGTCCGCCCCCTACCCCACCCTCAGCCACCACTGACCTTGTATTCCATCTGTGCAGTTCTGTCTTCTGAGACGGTCACATACATGAAATCATGCATTACTTAACCATTTGTGTCTGGCTGCTTTCACTTAGACAGTGATTTTAAGATTCACCTATGTCGCTTCAGTAGTTCCTTTTTATTGTGAAAAGCGTACTTTTGCACAAATAGATCACAGTTTGTTCATCCATTTAGAGTTGATGAACATTGATGTGTTTATGATAGAGGTGCTATAAAACTGCTAACCACAGAGATGCACAAGTGTTTATATGAGCATATGTTTGCATTTCTCTTGAGCAAACACCTAGTAGTCCAGGATTTCTGGGTCCTGTACGGAATGAGTGTTTAACCTTTATAAGACACTGCCAACTGGTTTCCAAAGTGGCTACACCCGCCACTTTGCATTCTGACCAACAGCGTAGGAGGCTTCCAGTTGCTTGCTCCACGTTCTCACATGAACTTCTGTATTGTCTGTTTTTTTTGTAAGATTTTTTTTATTTTTAGAGAGAGGGGATGGGAGGGGGAGAGAGAGAAACCTCGATGTGCAAGGGATACATCGATCACTTGCCTCTTGCACGCCCCCAAGTGGAGACCTGGCCTGCAACCCAGGCATGTGCCCTGACTGGGAATCGAACCAGTGACCTTTCCATTCACAGGGCAGCACCCAGTCCACTGAGCCACACCAACCAGGGCTACTGTCTCTTTTTTTTAATTTTAGCTATTCTACCAGGTGTGTGATGATTTTAATTTGCATTTCCATAATTACTTATCATGTTGAACATCTATTTTTGTTCTTATTTGCCATCTGGTATCATATTCTTAAAATAATAGATGGGGAGGGAGGGAGAAAGAGAGGGAAACATCAATGTGTGGTTGCCTCTGGTGCGCCCCCTACTGGAGGCCTGACCTGGCCTGCAACCCAGGCACCTGCCTGACTGGGGAGCAAACCAGCGACCCTTTGGTTCTTCGCAGGCTGGCGCTCAATCCACTGAGCCACACTAGCCAGGAATATGGTATCATATCCTTTTGGCCCAAAGAAGTTTCTTTAGCATTTTCTCTAATGCAGGTCTGCTGTCTTTTGTTTGAGAAAGCCTTAACTGACTTTCGTTTTTGAAAAATGGCTTTGCTGGTTATTGAATTCTATACTGACGGTTTTTCTTCTTTTACTACTTCAAGAAATACTTCTTTGTCCTGTGGCTTGCACAGCTTCTAGAGACGTCTGCCATGTCTCCATTCCCCTGTACATAATCCCTTCTCATCTTCTGCCTGCTTTCAGCACTTTATCTTTGTTTTTGGTTTTCCACGTTTAACTACAATGCGTCTAGGTGTGTTTTCTTTGCTCTTTTGTTTAACATTTATTTTTTTAAATTTATTTGCTTGCAGTTGGCTGAGACTCTCAGATCACGTCCATTGACTTTGGAGCATTCTCAGCCATTTTCTCTCGCAGTATCTCTTCTGCCCTGTTCCCTTTCTCTCTCTTCTTGGGACGCCGGTTACAGACTGTCAGACCACCTGATGTAGTTCCACGGGCGCTGGGTGCTCCTTCTGTTTTTTTGCACTTCTTTTTCTCTCTGTGCTTCATTTTGGGTAATTTCTATTGACCTATCTTCAAATGTTTTTATTCTTCCCTGAGCTACGTGTAGTCTGTGTATACGCCCATCAGAGGAGTTATTTTATCTCTGATCATGGCTTGTTGCACTTCTAGCATTTACACCTGACTCTTCTTACCGTGCTCACCTCTGCTGAGTGCCCGGTCTGCTGCAGCACGTGGTGCACCTTTCCCACTCCGTGCTCTCCTTGTCACTCACAGTCTCGGTAGCTCTGGCACGTGGGTCACTAGTGAGTGAGTCTGGTTCTCCGGGTCGTTTCATCTCTCCTTTCCCAAAATTGAGATATAATTGACATACAGCGTTGTATTTTTTTAGGTTTACAACATAATGATTTGAGATTACGTGTATTTTTTGACCAGATGTTTTATCTCTTAACAATGAGTCTTTTTTTCCCTCGTCCTGTCTTGCTTACTTTCTTGCTGTCGTGTGTGTTGTAATATTTTACTGAATGCCACACACAATATATAGAAGAACAGCAGAGGCTAAGGGGAAAAAACCTCACACCTGGAAAGAGCAGGCCTGTCCAGCGTGGGACGGAGCCCTTTTGGCAGCAATGAGCTGCGTCTGGGCTCCCTCGTCCCTGTCACTGTCCTCAGTGTGAGCCGGGCCCCCTCAGTGTCCCTCAGGGGCGAGCTGCTGGTGCTCATGCTTAGTGTGGAGCCTGGGGTGCCAGCGGCTTTTCTCCCGTGTTCCTGTTGCTCCCTCAGCGTCGAGCAGCTGCTGCAAGCCCATGCCCCCACGGGTGTCTTTCCCCCCCTCAGTGGTGGACTGTTGCTGCTTGTTCCCTAGTGCTGTGCTCTGGGTCGGGGAGGGTCTTGGTTCTCCTGTCCATCCTCGCTCTTAAACAGGATGTGCTACTGGGCTTCACGGTGGGACCTCTCCAGCATTCCTGCACCACCCCCCCTCCCTGGCAGCCAAACACCGCCCTGCATCTCAGGTGGCTTTTGGGAAGGAGAGATTTCCTGCCCCTGCTTTTACTGGTGCAGGATCCTAGGGCTCAGGGCAACCCGGGGCTGGTGGCTTGTGCCTCTGCTCTTCCCCCAGAAGCAGATCTCTGCCTGGTTGCTTTGGCAAGTAGGGTAGAGTCCTTTACTCCCTCTCCGCAGGGGCAAACAGGTTTCGTTTCTACCCTGGCTCTGGGAGCAAGAGGGTTTGGTGCCCCTCTCCCAGCAGCTTAAGGAAGGAAGCAGCTCAAAGGAAGGTTTTGCTTCCCTTGAGAGGAGTCTCTGGGAAGCCGCAGGGTCTCCGACCTGCCTACCAGCGGCAGCCATCTTGCCACCACACCCGGGCCACCAACCGTACTGTCCTACCAGGTCACTCTGGTGGGCACTGGGTGGAGGCCTGCCCAGAACCGCTTGCGAGTGAGTGCAGACTCTGTTGTGTCAGGGGCTGCTGGTTTTCCTAGACTGAGGGGCTGACCCGCACGCCTTTTCAGACTTGTTGAAGTTTTAGCTGCTTCCTTCGTACTTGCTTTCATACCTCTTCCTCTGTGCTCTGTCAACGATGAAACACTTCAGTGTTGTCTGGCTCTCCTTGAAGGGGCTTCTTACTCTTCAGAATTAAATTCCAATTGTCTCCAGACCTCAGCTTCCTGACAGGTTGATAAAAGTTTGGAACTTTTTCTCGTTTGGATGGAAGCAGGATTCTCCTCCTGCTTTCTACATCCTAAAGGGAAGTGGAACTCCCCGGAAGCTTTTTCAACCCCAGCCCTACGCTCCCTCTCAAGGACGTTCATTTCCAGGGTCTAGTTGATACGTCCCCACATAAGACATGGTCGGGCGGTTGTATCCTCTTCCTGGAGGCTGCAGATCAGAAACAGGAGTCCAGAGAAATCGAATGTGCCGACAGAGTGATCAGAATCGAGTGAGCCTTCTGCACGCAGGAGGTCATTTCTTGGGCCGTCTCCCACTTGAAAAAGAAGCACGGGCCCTCCTATGCACATCGCCCTTCTCTTTGTACAACGGCACCTCGTGGAGAGCCTCCCCCGCAAAGAGGTCCCAGTGGTTTCATGGGCTTTATCTCATCCGTCCTCACACATCCACGTGATACGGGAGCAGATGGTGGTCTCTCCATCCTCGACTGAGAGGCGAGACGCCTGGAAGTGCAGGATCGCATGGCCCAGCTGGTCCCAAACCCAGACTCTCTGACTCCAGCCTGGCCCCCGCCCCCCAGCCCACCCCCGCCACCCTGGGGCCGCTCCACTGTGCCGTGTGCTCGTTCCGAGGTCTCCTGGGTGAAACATAAAAGAGCCTCCACAGTTCCGGGTTTAAGCGATTCATTTTGTGATTCGATCCTGAAACAGAAGACAGTCTGGTTTTATACACAAAAAACCCCAACATCCTAAACCGTATCACATTAGTTAAGAAGAGTTTCGTTTGTAACTGGTTGGAAAGTGAGCCCCGTGGCCGAGCCCCGGCTGAGGGCCTGTGTCCTTTGTCTTCCCCAGCTCTCATCGGTGCCTGCGGTGGGAACTACTCGGCCATGACCTCTGTCATCTACTCCCCTGACTTTCCCGACACCTACGCCACCGGGAGGGTCTGCTACTGGACCATTCGGGTTCCGGGAGCCGCCCACATCCACTTCAGTTTCACCTTGTTTGACATCAGGGATTCCGCAGACATGGTGGAGCTGCTGGACGGCTACACCCACCGAGTCCTGGTCCGTTTCAACGGGAGGAGCCGCCCGCCTTTGTCCTTTAATGTCTCTCGGGACTTTGTCATTCTGTATTTCTTCTCCGACCGCATCAATCAGGCCCAGGGCTTTGCTGTCCTATACCAAGGTAAGACTTCTGTGCGCCCCGGGTGTCTCTTGCCTCGTGACCTGTGGTTGTGGCCCTTGGGCGGTTCTTCCCAGGTGGTCGGAGTCAGGAGCTACTGACCCAACCTCCGGATTCCCCCATCTCCCATTTCATAACTTGTATACATTTTACAGTACAGAAAAGAGGTAAAACCTGACAGTTTTGCCAAGTTAGCAGTTCTGATGGGAGGGTTAAAACAGCTGAAAGAAAAAGCTGAGGTTGGTAGAACTGGAAGGCTCTGAGGAGGTCATTTGGTTCATCCTCCTGCCTCTCAGGACCGCAGCCAACCCTAAAATCCCCCTGGGATGGAGCCCCGCTCTGTGCCCCTCGACTGTGGACACACGTGTTCCAGGCACACCTCTGTGGCACAGAGAGACTCAGCGGGTGTCCGACACGTGGTCTCTGTCCTAGATGTCAGGGGTGTCAGGAAGGGTTCGGTCCGTGGGCTCCAGGGGAGTCAGAGGGAGGAGGGAGAGCCTTGAAGATCAGGCAGGATCTGGGTCAGTAGACAGGGAGCAAGTAGGCCTTCCAGGCCGACGGAGCCATAGCTACGAAGGCTCAGGGTAGGACGATGATAAAGTATGCTCAGGCGTCTGCCAAGAGCCCAGTCAAACGACTGGAAGTTGACAGGTTGTTCCTTCTGCCTCCTTCGGGGCCGGGGCCCAGCAGGTTCTGCGTGGGCACCAGCAGGGCCAGTGGAGAGGATCGCACCCAGAGTGAGATCAGAGGAAACAGTCTTTCTGCACAGCGAGTGCCCCCCCCCCCCCCCGCCAAGCTATCCATTGTCTTTACCAGCTTTTCCCCAGTTAATTCCTTTTGCTCTTCTAGCCGTCAAGGAAGAACCGCCACAGGAGAGGCCCACTGCCAACCAGACGCTGGCCGAGGTGATCACAGAGCAGGCCAACCTCAGCGTCAGCGCTGCCCGGTCCTCCAAAGTCCTCTATGTCATCACCACCAGCCCCAGCCACCCACCACAGACCATCCCAGGTAGCAGTTCCCAGGCACCTTCAAAGGGGTTGGAAGCCACAGAGCTTGAAGGCAGTGCTCGTGGTGGTTACAGAACAAGAGCGCTGGGGGGTGTTTCTCGTTCAAAGGCACGTCGAGGGTCCTGGCTCTGTCACTATGTTTGCCTGGCCTTTGACTCCTTAGTCCTTCGGGAAAGAGCTCACTAACACAGACCCGACACGGGCGCCTTCCATCCCCTGTGACTGATCGGCTGATCTGTGTCTTCTCTCATTGAGAATTGTCTTTCTAGAGCCACAAGTTGTAGCCCCCCAAATTCTTTGGCAATTTTAAGAGCTCTGTTCATTCATTCATTCAAAAAATACGCACATGCTTTAATGATGCCAGGCGCTGTTGTAGGCACTGGACTATATATACAATAAACAAAAAAGTCTGCCCTCCAGTGGCCTATAAGTGGGGAGAGAAAGACAAGAAGCAAAATAAAAGCCAGATCATGATGAGAGCTATGAAGGAAAGTCATGCAGAAGGAACGGGAGTGGGTGATGGTCTCGTGGTTCAAGCTAGCTAACTTAGTTGGGCACAGACTTCCATACTCTCTTTTCTGCCAAGGAAACTGGGGCCTTTATGAGCTGATAGGGCTGCAGTGTTCTGTTAGCAGTGACCGAGCCTAGAGATTTTAGACTATTGTCCAGGTCCCCCCAAGGACCCTGCACAGAAGCCCAGGGATGAGAGCCTTCCCAGCGCTTGTCCTGCGTCACTGGTTAGGGTGTTCCGGTAGGATTTCCTTCCTCAGTTGAGGAAACCGGGGCCTGCAGTTTATGTAACTCATCTGTGGTTGCACAGATGACAGAGACAGAATGTGCACAGTAGAGACCCCTTCTGGCTCAGAGTCCAGTGCATTTTGGACCACACCACCTGCCTGTCTAAAGCCAGGTGAGGTGCTCAGAAGGCTGGGACTCCATGCAGCCTAGCTCTAAGCTGCATTTGGTGGCTCTTCCCCCCTGCAGGCAGCTCCTTAGCCAGACCTTCATTTCTAAGCTGCCAGTGTTCACCAAGGGCTTCCTTCGAAAAGCTTAGGTCAAACCAGTCTGATAAAGCCTGTCTTTTGCACCTGCAGGATGGACTGTGTATGGCCTGGCAACTCTCCTCATTCTCACGGTCACAGCCATTGTAGCAAAGATACTTCTGCACATCACATTCAAGTGAGTATAACAGAGCTGCCTAGTTCCCGAACGGAAGGCTCAGAGCTCCTTTCCTACTGTGCTCCATTTGTCCGGGTAAAAGTGTAACATCAGAACGTGATTCCACAGTCCTAGGGAGAGTAAGGCAGTCGGTGTTCCTCATTCTTGGTGGGGTGAAATGTACAACTGGACTAATTTCACTAAGGTCTGAGGAACTGTGTTTGCTTCTGTGTCCAAAGGATATAATTTCAGGGAAGATTGAAACAGTCTAGGCATAAAAAGCAACAATTTCTGGTTTTTTTGCCTTGTGCTGGACCCTAAAAGAGATTTTGATGTGAGAGCAAAGAATTGCTAGGACAACACTGTATATATATTCCTGATGCCTTCTAGAAATTGGGAAAGGTCCTTAGGAAGAAAATACTAACATTAACTATAGCTTAATAATCATTTTAAGGCAATTTTTTAAAAGATTTCATTTATTTATCTGTAGAGGGGAAGGGAAGGAGATAGGGAGAGAAACATCAATGTATGGTTGCCTTTCATGCGTCCCCTGCTGGGAACTGGCCTGCAGGGAACTGGCCTGCAACCCAGGCATGTGCCCTGACTGGGAATCGAACCGCAATTGTCTGGTTCGCAGGCCTGCGCTCAATCCACTGAGCTACACCAGCCAGGGCTTTTTTTTTTACTTTTTAAAAAAATATTTTTTATTTATTTATTTTTATAGAGAGGGAGAGAAACATCAATGTGTGGTTGCCTCTCACACGCCCTCTACTGGGAACCTGGCCCTCAACTCAGGCATGTGCCCTGACTGGGAATCGAACCAGCAACCATTTGGTACACAGGCCTGTGCTCAGCCCACTGAGCCACAGCAGCCAGGGCTTAAGAAAATTATTTAAGAAGCTTATAGAAACTTCATCCTTCAATTCTGACCATTTGGAAAAAAACATTTCCGATATTTTGCTGCTCTGGTTTGACTGTTGTTCTCCCAGGAAAGGGGGTACCGAAGTTTGTGTGTTTACAGAGGGGAATCCTTTCTGTTTTTTTCTAGACTTTGACTCTTTCTTCCCTGTGGTTCCCAGCCCAGACTCTCTCCATTTCTTTTTTTCTCCCGAGTTTTATTGAGGTATAATTGGTATCCAAGTTGTCTCCATTTCAAGGCCTTCCTGAACATCGGTGTCCAGTGAAAGCCTCTTTTCCCCGACCTTCTCACGAGCCGTCTGCCGAAGACTTTCTAGTGCATTAAATGACGGCTCCTTCACTGCCCTGTGACAGCCGCCCTGGGCCACACTGGGGCCACCCCCAGCCTCTCCACCCTGGGCGTTACATTTTACAATGAAAATAATGTTGCTATTGTTTACTGAGTCCACTCACATGCCATACGTGTACTTTTTAGTCACAGTTTCACATGGTCTGGAAGCCTCTCAGGCACAGCCCTGACCATGTGTCTCCTACGCTGCAGGAAAGCGGGAGGCTTCCTCCAGGGCCCAGCAGCCGGCACCACACTGAGGCCCTAACACACGTCTGGCTCCCATCCGACACCACGGTCCCTCTGCAGCCCCCCTGCCAAGCAGTGTCGGTGGAGAGCAGGACCCACTTCAGGCTGAGTGGTTTTGCCTTTATCCCGTTTTAACTAGGTCGGCGTCTAGGTAAATGTCCTTTGAAGAAAGAGTTCTTTTATTTAAAAAAAGAAAAAAAGAAAGAAAGAAAGAATTTGAAAACTCATAATCTCTCAGGACAGCCCTTTCCAGATCTGAGCAACTCTCCGAGTTAGAAATTTCTCTGCTCCTCTGAACTGGAGTCTGCCCCGCCGCACTCCCACCCCCTCCCGCAGGGCACGTTGCGTCGGCCCGAGGCCCTTTGGGCCCTCAAGGCGGCGTTTAGGTCTGTCCCGCACTGAGCGCCCCGTTTCCTGGGTGTAGGTGTCTCACGAGATGGCAGGGTGTTTGGAGGCTGCGCGCACAGAGCTCTTAAGTGATCTTTGCCTGACAGGTCGCACCGTGTTCCTGCGTCCGGAGACCTCAGGGACTGCCGTCAAGCAGGGACGTCGGGGGAGATCTGGAGCATTTTTTACAAGCCTTCTACTTCGATTTCCATCTTTAAGAAGAAGCTCAAGGGTCAGAGTCAACAAGATGACCGCAACCCTCTTGTGAGTGACTAAAGCACCCGTCCGTCCCGGGACGCGAGGCTCCTCCGAGTGCGAGGCCGCAGGGGACCGCCTCCTGTGGTTTCCTCCCACCAACTGTCCCCGCCTCCCCGCCGCCTGCCAGTGGACTGGGAAGGGGCGCCTGCTGCAGGGGCGGCGTGGCCTGGGTCCCTCCTGCTTCATCCGCTGCACTTCAGAGAGAGACACTCAAGGTCCCAGGGTCCGGGCCTCCTGTGTGTGTCTCTCTCTGATCTAGGAATCTAGGAATAGGGGTGTCAGGACACTGGGGCTGAGAGGACAAAGGCGGTTGTGTCGGGCACTGGGTTCAGGCACCTTCTAGATGACTGTCAGGTGGTGGGTAGGTGTAGTGTACGTTGAGTCTTTCTCACTGCTTCTTCATGTTGTCCACACACAGACCACTTTCTCCTGGTCTTTGTGGTTTGGAAGAGGGCCGGGCAGAGAATTCTGAGGTTTTCTCGAGGGCTGGCCTGGTCCAGTACTCCTATGTCCCAATGCCCTAAAGAGGGCCCACGCTCCGTGCTCACTCTGGGGCTTTGTCCTCCGGGCACTGGGTGAGAACAGGCCTCCTCCCACCTGCGTCGGCCTGAGAACGAGGTCTGCTGACCCCCATTCGTGTTATATCTGAAACCTCCCCCATAGCTTGGTGACCAACAGAGCAAGCTTGTGGAGCGGCCACATGAAACACCTATTGACGCGTTCACACAACAGGCTCTGCCGAAAGCTCGTACAGGTGCTCAACAAGTCCCCGTTGGATTGGCTTTGTCTGGCCTGGCCCCCGAACAGCCTGCGGTCCTGTGGAACCGAGCCAGGCCCTCATCTCTCCGCGATGCTCTAAGCTGACTCTCAGCTCAGAGCAGAGAGTGTAACGATCATGGTTGGCATTTTGGCAGCGTTGTCTGAGACAGGCTGGCCAGCAGTCCCTCCTTTAGCCGTCCCTCATTTTAAAAAGATGAAACACACCCCACAGCCGGCGTTCTCTGTGGCCCCCTCTGCTCCTTCCTTTGGGGACAGACCGGGGTTTGGAACGGCTTGGTGCAGAAGGAGAGGGCCCTTAACCCTGGTCCCACGCTGCCCTGCCCCCGGTGGGAGGTGAATCACAGCGGTGGCCTGAGGAGTGAGAGAGGGAGGGTTTGGGAACCGGGGACCTTCTGAGGACCGGCCTCCAAGATTGACAGCTACGAGTGCAGTGGCTCCGGATGGAAAGTCCTAGCCGTCTCCAGGTCATAAGCCCCCACCGGCCACTGCAGGCTGCGCCCAGAGCGGCTGAGCAGAGCCACCTACGCCTCTGAAGGTGAGGCCTGAGCCTTTGTCAGAACACGACCCCCCAAAGGCTGTCAGGCCTTGGGTCTTGCTGTGCCTCTGGCCTCAGAGGTTCCCCCTTCAGAGCACTTTGCCTGCCTTCCCCAAGTCCCTAAGCCACTGCCTACCACGGCCCTGCCTGGGGTTTTGCCCTGTTGGCAACCCATCTGAAACCGGCTGCTGCTAGAAATACAGAGAGCCGTGTGGGGCTAGCTGGGAGGTGTCTGCAGGGAGAGGTGACGCCTGGCGACCAGGGAAGACACTAGGAGCTGGCAGGCAGAGGGGCATTCAGAGGAGGGGAAAGGTGCAGTGTGTCCACAGGAGGGCAGGGGTACTGCCCTCCCCAGCCACCACGTGAGGCCCAGCACAAGCATGCATCTGCTCCGTGCTGGCTTCGCGCTTTGATCTGGGCAGGGCGGTTACCATGGAGCAGCTGTCCACAGGCCCCTGGGTCTGGAGACAGAGGTCTGTCCCATACGAGGACCGCCGGAAGTACGCTGACATGTGCAGTCTCCGGTCCAAGCTATTCCTGGCTTCTGTGGCATCTCCTCTCAAACCCAAGCGTCAGGTGTGCAGACACAAAGGGCCCTGTGCTGCAGACAGATCCGCCCCCGGCACAAAGGGAGTGTGGAATGTGGCGAAGGGTTCGCCCAGCCCGGAGCCCTTGTTCAGCTGCCTGAGGCTTTCTCTGATCGCCGACCCTGCTCACCTCATGCCTCCGGTCAGGCGCCAAGCCAGTGGGTGTCTGGGCCTGCAGCTGGGTCAGCCCTTTCTCAGAGATCCTGGAAAGGCTGGGGAGGCCCCGGGACTCTCCTTCCGGCTGGTCCTGGCGCAGCCCAATGCCACCAGGATCACTTTACAGCCCAGGGAGGGACCACAAGCAACCCAAACCCAGCCTCAGGACAGCATGCGGGGAGGTCACCATAAATTGTCCCAGGCCAAACTCCCATAAGTCCCATGGCCACAGTCAGGCCATGGTCCTGGTCAGAACCTGTTGGCAACACCTACAGAAGGTCCCTGCAGCTAAGTAAACACCTGAGAAGTAACTCGTCCCAGAAGAGGTGGGACGTGCTTCCAGGAGCATCGAAGGAGGGAGCCCTTGGTCTTCTAAGAAACTTCTTTAGAAAAGAGCAAGCGGGGGTTGGAGGTGATGGGAAAGGCGTCCCTGAGAAAGGTCATTAGAGATGACACAGCAGGAGATTATGAATAGGGGGCCTCCGGGGACCACTGTGGACGGGCTCTCAAAGCATCCTGTGCAGAGCCTCGGCCCCGAGGTGCAGCGTGGAGGGCGCCACGAGCTCGCGCCTCACTCAGGACCGCTGTGCCCTCCTCAGCCGTCCACTGCCAGCTCCCAGGCCCTGCCTTCTCCACGGGTGCTGTGCCCCAGCCCGAGGTTCAGCCCTCGGGCAGCCGCTCCTGTTGCCTCCCGTGGTGGCCGCACCTTGTCTTGGCCATGCTTCACGGCGGCCTCGGCCCCTCGAGAAGGCTCTCAGCGCCCCATGTTCTTACCCATGATCAAGTGCTTCCAGAGCAGAGAAGGAGCAGGGATGGACACCCCCTGTCAGGGCAGGGTAAGGCCTCTCTGTGTGTTAGTTAAGGTCACCTGGTTGCTTCCTGTAGCTTCTGAAGTGTGCGCTCTGGCTCAAGACTCCGATCAGCCAGAAACCCACAACGATCAAAGCACTAGCCAGTGCAACTACCCGGACCTGAGGCCACATGCCCCATTGTCAGCCCACGGTGGGGCCGTTGCCAAGCCTCTGTGTCCTGGGCACTTAATCCTCACGAGCACTTAGTGGGCAGCCTCCCAGATCCCGTCTGCCCTGCCCGCCAAGGCCACCCCGGGTGTCCCTCGGAGCCGCCCACGCCCCACTCTCCACTCCAGTCAACTGGCACCCTCTTGGGTTTCAAATCTCCTATTTGGTGTTTGATGTCTGCTTTTGTTACTACCTTGGGGATTTTTAACCTTTGATTACTTCCTCCGGTGTCTTTGTTTACCTTCCTCACTCTCTACCTCCTGGCCGGGTCCCTCAGCTTAGCTGCCCTGGCATGGGGTGTTTCTCAAACCTTCCAGCCGCAGCTGCCTCCCCCGGGCTGGCCGGCTCAGGGGTGACGGCGCCTCCCCCTCTGCCTGCGACCCCAGGGGCGTGCGCTTTGCGTGGACGTCCGTCTGGCTGAGTCCAACATACTCAGTGAGACAGAAACCGGGTGTGGAGGAGGGTCCGAGGCAAGTCCGCTGCTTCAGAGAGGACGCGTCTCCGGAGCAGGGTGGGGAGCCGCCGCCCCCGGGCCTGCCCGCATCCAGACTCCCCGCCCCTGGGGATCCCGACTTTGGATGATAAGGCTTTATTTGTAAATAAGCTCTTAATATGCAACTTTGAGAATAAAGTAGAAACATCGTGTATTTTAAAAGATGAGATGAAGTGTGCCGCACTGTATACAATTTAATATATATTTTTAGGATTTTGTTATTTAAGAAAATGGAATGTAATGGTACTTAACTTTTGCAAAAGAGAGAAAAATGTTATTTTTACTGCCTGGAGAAAATAAATATTCTCATTGTTGTAGAAACAGGGCGACGGGCCCTGGCTCGTGCGTGGTGTTTGTGGGCGCGCCCGTCGGAGGGGTCACGTGCTGGGGGAGCACCTGCGCCCCTGACCTCGGTGCTCCTGCCGGGCCTGGCCGCCCGCTCGCCTTCTCCCGAGTGGCCCCAGGCTTCCTCGGGCCTCGCTGCGGCCGTGACCCACAGCTGATCTCCAGCCCGTGAGGCCTGAGAGAGCTGGCGCTCCACGTCAGCACCCCACACAGTGGGGATGGCCGCCCGCCCGTGCCTCTGCACCCAGACAGACCTGGGTCTGAACTGGCCTCAAATTAGTCCATCCGCCCATCGGCTGCAGTTTTCACTCCCTGTAAACCGTCACGGTACCTGCGCCTCAGAAGGTGGTGAGATTAAGGGAGAAAATGGCCCTAAAACACTAATGTAATTATTATTATCCAATGTGGAATTCACCTTGCCTCGCAGAGCAACCACTTCTTCCTCTCGCTACCCTGTCCTTTTTAAGAACAGCGATGGAAGCGCCACGTGAGCTACCTGCTCTGCACCCGGCACTCTCCTGTTGGGCGCGCTGGGTACCCCACCAGCCCTTTCAGCAGCTGCTGTCGCCCCCATTTTGCCGATGAGGAAACTGAGGCTCAGAGAGGAGCACCAGGTAGGAGCCAAGAGCACAGCCCGAGTCAGCTGACAGGATCCATCCCCCACCGTCAGTCTGCTGAGAGGCCAGGGGGTGTACAGCGCAGACCAGGGAGGGTTCTGGTGGAGGAGTGGCACCAGGTTCCTAGTCTAGAAGCGTTTGCTGTTTGCATTGGGAAAACCAGATTGGAGTGGCGCGAGAAGACCGGGCGAGGGGGCTCATCAGAAGGCTTGCAGACACAGGTCCACACGAGAGTTTCAGAGGGCCTGCCGAGGACCCCGACCAGCACTGCGGAGGGAGGGAGGATCCAGGTGAGAGAAAGCTGGCTCCGCCCCTTTGCCAGGGGCCGGTGACTGGGCCCCACTGCCTGGGCTTGGGCTTCCCACGAGACCTTGGGCGAGTGACTCAGCCCCCGGTGCCTGCTTTCTCATCTGTCGCTGGGTGCAGTTGGAGTTCCTGCCTGTGGGGCTGGGATGAGTTGCTGCCTGAGTGTGGTTTCCATAAAGGTAGCTGTGCTTTGTTATTCTAGAGAAGAGGTGGGGGCTTCAAGAACCAGAAAGTGTCTAGGATTTCGCTCACATTTATTTCAATGTTTAATATTAGAAGTGTTTTGAAAGGTCTTTTTTTAAAGATTTATTTTTAGAGAGAGGGGAAGGGAGGGAGAAAGAGAAACATCACTGTGAGGCTGTCTCTTGCACACCCCCTACCTGGGACCTGGCCCACAACCCAGGCATGTGCCCTAACTGAGAATCGAACCCACAGCCCTGTGATTCACACCAGCCAGAGCTGAAAAGTCTTTATTTAGAAGTTCGGCGATGTCTTTCTGTAACTAGAAATAGGCCGTAGTAACTTAACTCTTGTTTCTATCAACTCTTGTAAAATTAGCTTTGTTATACTTTGTTTCGTGTAAAGTTGCAGTTTCCAAGAGCCTATTAATGATGCGAGGACCAACGGAGGTTCTCTGGCAGGCGCGTCACCTGGACGGGAGTTTGTGACCCTCTCCGTCCCTCCAGCCTCCTCCGCCGCGGCTGCCGCTGCAAGGCGGCCGCACCTGGAAGGCCAGCTTCGCCGGCGAGTTTCTCTTCTCTGAGCTTTCCTTCTCTCCCAGAAGCTCTTGCCTTCCTTGAAGGAGAAGATTTTCTGACTTTTTAAGATGATTTTTGGAATATCGCACAGTTGGTATACAGTATTGTGTCGTTTCAGCTGTGCAGTATCATGATTGTACATCCGCATGCCTGACCACATGACGGCCACACCCGGCCTAGCACGCACCTGTCAGCCCCGCCCCTCACCCTCTCCACCCATTGCCCCCGCCCTCCTGCCGCCATGAGTCCGTTTTTGTTTGGTTTTGTTCGTTCATTTATGTGTGATTTTTTTTTCAGATTCCACATATAAATGAAACCGTATGGTATTTGTCTTTCTCTTTTCTTTGACTTATTTCTCTGAGCATAATACTCTTTAGGTCTACTGTGTTGTCACAAATGGCAAGATTTTATTCTTTTTTTTTATTGGTGAGTCATATATATAAATGTGTATATATATATATATATATATATATATATATATATATATACACATGATCTCACATCTTCTTTATCCATTTATCTGTTTGTGGACACCTAGGTTGCTTCCATATCCTGGCTATTGTAAATAATTCTGCAATGAAAATAGGAGTGCATATATCTTTTCAAATCAGTGTGCTTGTCTCGGGTCAATACCCCGAAGCGGTAGATTTATTTTTTAGTTTTTTCAGGACTCTCCATACCATTCTCCACAGTGAGCACACCACATCCAGCCTCGCTAACAGTGCGCACGGGCTCCCTTTTCTCCACACTGTCGCCAGCAGGCGGCTTTCTGAGGACAGCCGTTCGGACAGGTGCGCAGCGCTGCCTCCTTGCGGCTCTGAGTTGCACTTCCCCGACGTCGAGCATCTTTCCACGTGTCCCTTGGCCGTCCGCGTGTCCTCTTCGGAGAAATGTCTCTGCGTGTCCTCCACCCACTTTTTGATTGAATTGTTTATATTTTTGTTAATGAGTGGTATGAGTTCCTTATTATTTGGGCTATCAGCCCCTTATCAGATGTGTCATTTGCAAATACGTGCTGAGGGAAGATGTTTTTAATGGCTGGTGGAGAACAAATGGGGTGGCCTCACTGTTGGATTTCTTGGAGACGGATCAGCCTGTGGCAGAAAAATAAATAAATGGAACTGTCCTGACTAAAGCAGGACTGGGAAGAGGCTGCCATCCCCATCTGGGTGGACCTGGGGGACCGCTGACCTTGACCTCATCTTCTCCTTTTCCCAAACCTGAGCAATGCGGACCTTGTAAGGCCCGCCCACCCAGGAGCCAACGCCGGGTCAGCCTGGCCTCACCCTTTGTCAGGCAATCAAAGCCTCTTCTTCCCGCGGGTCCTGTGGAGACAGAAAGGGCCGGCCCTTGTCGCCAAGCTTGGAAATCACATGACCATCTATCTCCTTGCCCCACTGGGCCCCACGTGCCTGAAACTGCAGACAGTCTCTGGGACTCGGAGAACTGGACGCTTTTGTTCCTCGGCGAGGGGCCGGGTCCCTGTGGGGGATCGTTTTCGCTTGGCTGAAAGGAGCCCTTGGGGTAGAGGATATTTCAACCTCAAGAAGCAGCAACATTTGCTTGTGGCTGGAAGTCTTCATTTCTGGTGTCCAGCTGCCGTCGGCTGAATGGGACTACACCCGGCAGCCGGGGCAGCAGCACCAGGCCGGGCTGGCCGTGGACCAGTCTGTCAAGGGGGTCCATCTCCGGGACAGCCTGGCGGCGAGGATGCCCTCGGCCCTCCTGCTGGTGGTCCCTGGGCTCTGGAATGGACCTGCTAGCTGAGGATGACGGGGCTGGTGAGCCAGGCTGCACAGAGAAGCATTTGAGGAGGAAAATAGATCCAAGCTTGAGGTCCAGGCTAACTCCTGGGGGTAGGGGTTGGTTGGGGGGGGGGGTAGAACAGAAAAATCTGAAACAGCCAAGGCTTTTGCAACAGAGAAGTTTCAGATTTCACTTATTTCACTCCTTAGGAACGTTTATGATTGTCCCTGTTCAAATGAGGCCACTGAACTTTTAAAAACTTAGTTGTGGGGGGGCTGGTGTTTTGCACACTGACTGTGTCAGTGTGTTTAATAGACTTGCCTGAGTTGCTAGTACCACAGATGAAGCTGATCAAGAGCATCTGAGGGGTGTGCAAACCTCACATTTAATCAAATCTAGCACAGCTTTTTATGGGCCCCGGGGTGAACTGAGCAAAGAGGTTTTGAAAATGCAAGGATGATGATGAGGAGGAGGAGGACGAGGAGGACAACAGCAGCGAACAGCTGGGCAACACTTATGTGTGTGAGACACTGTATGGAGCACTCAACAGACATTACAGAATCCATCCTTGTGACTGCCCAGCCTGGGAACAGAGGCCGCGCAGAGAAGGGGCTGAGGGCAGGCAAGGGCAGGAGTCGGCCAGCTTCAAGGCCAGGGCTCCTCACTTCTGGGGCACTTCATGCCCCTCGGGGCCGGCAGGTGAGCTCTGAGGGGGGCCCCAAAGCCCCCAGGTATCTCACCCTCACAAATGTGGCCTCCAGTCAGCCTGGGGGAGGTATAGATCAGTTTGTCTGGGGCAAGGAAGGTGTGGAACCTACACTTCTTATTTGAGAACAAACACCTTTGAGAATTGGATGAATGTTATCATGCCCCTCCCTCAAAAAGATCCCACCTACAAAAATCGGCATGGAAATTCTGCAGATTTAAAGACCTAAAACCTTCCCATAGACTTCAGGTTTAGAATCTCTTCAGTACGTATCTGGTACCTACAAGTTAAAACTAGACCCAAAGAGGACAACAATAAGAGTATGAATATAATAATGCATTTAACTGATCACTTACTAAGTGTCAGGCACTTACTGCAGGAGTCGGTCAGTTCTTTCTGCAAAGGGATAAGTAGTAACTGTTTCCTCCTTTGTGAACCGTGTAGCCTCTGGTGTCTGTCACAACTACTCACCCCTGCCCACCCTGGTTGGTGGGACTAGAACCAGTGCCTGTCCACTGGGACCCTCCAGGACCCCATCCCTGCAGGCCCTGGAGCCAGCCAGGTAACTCCCAGAGGGGTGGGGACTGGCATGGGGAGAGGGCATCAGGCCCGCACGTAAGCAGCCAGAAAATATCTAAACGAATGGCAGGTTGTATTCTGATGAAACTTAATTTATGGGCACAAAAACTATCAGGTTATATCACATTCACATGTCACCAAATAGTGCTACTCTTCTGACTTTCCACCCCAACAATTAACACCTGTGAGAAGCATTCTTCGTTCACAAGCCCAACAAAGCTAGGTGGCAT